ATAATTGAGATAATAATGGAGTTATATGAGAATAGGCAGCTTAGCATTATAACAGAGTTTGGAAGTACAGATTTCATTAAAGCAGGAGATAGTATAGACTAAGAAGAGGTACTGTCTTTGTTGGTTTGGAGAATTTTTTATGATCCTTTGCTTTGTAGAATACAAAAAGCCGAGCTAGATTACAAAATGCATAACACAGAAACACATATGAACTTAAAGAACACTAAAGCAAATATTAGAGTAGGAGTGTTAGCATATGCAGATGATACAACTTGGTTGACAAATAGTCAAGAAAGCATGCAAAGTATAATCAACATCACACAAGAGTTTTATAAATTGAATAATATTGAAATAAATCTGAACAAGACTGAACTTATAGTGTTAAAACCAGATAAAAAGAAGCATGCAGAAGATTCTGCAATCTGGATAGGCAATCTGAGAATCAGAATTATAGCAAAAGATCTTAAAGAAACTACAAGATTTTTAGGGGTCTGGATCTCAATCAAGAATCAAAAAAAGTCTGATATTTTTAAAGCAAAAAGCATAGTAGGCAAGATCACAGATCTACTAAAGCACAAACAGATGTTTTTAAGCCAGATCATTTACATAAACAATGCAATTCTTATACCTACTCTAGAGTATAGATTAATGATTTCATGTCTAACTAAAGCACAGTGTGAGAGAATACATTAACCAATGATTCGTCTGATAAAATGAAAAATGTTAATACTTTTCATAACAGTGAATATAATAACAAAACACCCAGAGATAACAGATCTCAAAAGTTTTTAGAATAGATATATAGAGCATTATATATCAGAGCTACTGGTTAGACTAAATACACCAGGTTTATTAAAAGAATCATTGGCAAGAAGGCTTAAACAAGGCCAGTTAAGAGCAGAATCTTTGAACTATATTTTAACAAATTAGAATATATTAGCAAAAAAAACAAAAGATCGCAATTTAGGAATAAATATTTTGCAACAAGCATATACTCTAGGCTTTGTAATAGAAGAAAATAAAATTACAAAAAGTTGGAATTTAGATATCACACAAGTGGCGAATGATGAAGAGATCACATGTGTCTTTGAGTATTTAAACATGGCTTATAAAGAAACGAAAGCAAGTAGCCTGGAATCTTGCTTTGTTTGAGAATTGTATTCATTAGTACTAATATTTTCTCAATCACTTTGGGTAGTAGTTTAATTCTTTCTAGTAGTGCTTGGATCCGGTTTACAAAATCCGGATATATCTGGATATAAAGAGGATAACAGATATTTATTTTTGAAAAGAGGATAATAAATCTGGATTGCTATTTTGTAATTTAAAATCTGGTTTTTATCTGGATATAATTATACTAATTAACAAATTATCATTAAATCAATTAGCAAATAGCCCTGTCCCAATATGATAAGAGAGAAGAACATTAGTAATCGGTCAATTAATCATATTTATAAGAATTACAAACTGATTAAAATATTGATTACCTCTTTCTATTTTTGAATAACCCGATCCTTGTGACACTGCATTATACGATCCTGGATTTTTGAATCTTTAGCCGTCAGAATTTAAAATTGGAAGCCAGTCTTGACATTTCATAATACATGATTTGTATTGAGCTGTGGATCCAACCCAAGTTAAAAAAGGATTATTAGTATTCAACAATACAAGTATTTGACTAAGATAGAATCCCTGAAAGTAATGAAGACTGATCTGAAGCCCGGCAAGACCCACCGCTCTAAAAAACCCAGACCAAATCTTTCCACACCTTGATTGACGCCCACTATTTTTAGAATCTTCGGTCTTAATTTCATTGTAATTGATTGTTAAAAATAGATTTTCTTAAGCATTAGGTGTTAAATTTCTTCAGTGACAGTAAATTAGCCCCTCATAACGTACATACGTACAGTGTTGTTAAATGAGCATATTCATTGGTAATTGTCATATATTTTTATTATGCTATTTATCACTCTGAACAATAAATAATTTAATAAAAAGATGCGACAATTACCGATGGACATTTTCATTAACAACAATGTATCGTATGTATGTACTTACGTATGTATTACAGTTAATACAGTAATTTAGTTCGTTTGAGATCTGCTCGAACACTTAGTTTGGTACTTATACAATACTAATATATTTAAATGTTAATCGCTTTCAAAAAAAAATTTAGGATTAAAATCTGAATATAAACCGGATTACAATCCGGATAACTAATATATATCTGTTTTATAAATTCGGATTGATAAAAATGAAACAGGATGTCTATCCGGATATCCGGTTATATATTCAGATCCAAGCACTAGTGTTCAAAGATAAGCTGGCTTATCATGGCTTGCTGTGGCTTACTGCGGCTTATCATGTGATAACTTCGAATTTATCACCAAGCCATGTGATAATCTTGAAATTATCACGTGATATAGTTGAGATTATCACATGGCTTGGTGATAAATTCGAAGTTATCACGTGATAAGCCGCAGTAAGCCGCAGCAAGCCGCAGCAAGCCATGATAAGCTGGCTTATCTTTGAACACTACCAAGTACTACTTTCTAGAGCTTTTTTAAGTAAGACTATACTGACTGAGTCGAATACTTTTTTCATATCTTGAAATGTAACCCAGAGCTCTTTTTTTCTTTCTACTACTTCTTCTATTATATTGTTCATTATGTGAATAGGGGTCGATATACTTTCCTCAGACAAGCCTGTAAAGTTTGCTTCTTTTAATATACTATTTTTGCTTAGTACCTTATCTAACCTTATTTGAAGCATTCGTGTAAAAACTTTTCTACATGTTTCAAGTAATACTATAGGTCTCATATTGCTTAGATTATATTCCCAAGAGCTATTTTTTGGAATTAGGTATATCTGATCGAGTTTTCACTTGCCTGGAATCTTGCTTTGTTTGAGAATTGTATTCATTAGTACTAATATTTTCTCAATCACTTTGGGTAGTAGTTTCTTAAATAGAATATAGCCAATATTTGAAATTTCTAGTGCTGTATTATTTCTAGTTTTGCTCAGAGCTTGTGTCCATTCCTCTAGTATAAGGGGGTTTGTTACTTCTTTATATATCATAGAATCAATTTCTTTTTTTGGCTTATACTCCTCTTTCCATTCCACTTTTATCTCTTTAAAATTTTGATTTTTTTTTCTAAATTGTTCTTCAAAGTAAGAGATTACTTGACGTTTTACTTTTTTTTCATCATTGATTAATTCCAAGTTGTGTACTCTGGAATTCTCCCCTACCAGAACTTTGTTAATCGTAATTTTGTTATATGGTCTATTAAGCAGGCTTTGGAGCATTTTCTTTTTATTTTTTTCTATCATACCAAATCTCAATTCTATTTTTTCCCCAAATTTCACTTTCTTTTTTTTTCTACTCTTCATCGCCTGCTTTCTTTCTAAGAACTTTACTTCAGTTTTTCAGTTTCTCTAATTGAATTTGACTCCACCACTCTGGCATTTGTGTGATTTGTGTTTGGTGCAATTGATTTATTTCATCAATTTTTTTATTTAAACTTTCTCTCTCATTAGAATTAATCTTTGCAGAAGAGTCTTTCTTGCTTCTCTTTTGTAAATAATATAAGAATTTAATTTCTCTATAAATTTCTAATTTTGGGATTGATTTTTTTCCTGAGCTTTAGTTTTCTTGACATTAACCTAAGGTATGTATTCTAATACTGCACTTATTATTGCATTACTAATGTTGTCACATTTAACATTAATATCTGTAGATGTATTATGTGAAACTTTCACATTTCTGCCTTGATCTTTCATACAAAAAAGGTGCTCTACACACACACTGTATGCCTCCCAGTCTTCTGATAATGCCTTATGATATAGAAAAACTCTTTTAGTTAGTTTTTCTTAATTTCTTCTACTAAGTTTTTCATACACAAGTACTTTACTTAATTCTAACTTCGCACATGCTATTTTGTGATCACTACATGTTACTAAATTAATGTCTTTAATTGTAGCTTCGTTAAGAAATTCTCTCATCTCTTTACCAATCCATATATAGTCAATTCTCGAAGCTACTTCATCTTTTTGCCAGGTATATTCTTTTTTGTGTGGATTTAAAA